GATGTCGCTTCGGGCGACGCATTTCAGGCGATAAGAGCGACGCGATGAAGCGATTACGCGTCCATCGCCTCATCGCGTGTTCTGCTTGAAGTTGAAAAATTTTAACTTTTCAAGCGACATCGCGTGACGCTGTGCCGCGACATCCAATCAGCGTTGATATCCAACCACGTCACCGACGTAGTTACGTCAGACGCACATTTCAAAAAATGGAGGAAAGAATCATTGTGGCTGTGTGTGGGTACACCGATGGACAGGCGCTCCGCAGCTGGGATGGAGCGCCTGTAGTTGGTGTACAGGCGGGAGATCCTCGCACCGATACGGGCCAACAGGTCCTCAAACTGGACCAGCGTCAGCCTGAAGTACCGCTGGAAACGACAGTCATCCAGACACAGCTCTTGCAGGAGATGATGATATTCACCCAGCTGTGTGCGTTTCTGGAGGATATTGTGAACCCAGACACGGCGACGTTTGGGTCAACGATCCAAATCAGATGTCCACAACAGATAAAGAGCAGCTACGGTAGTTAACTCAGCCATGGTTGATGAGAAAATAGCGGGAGGTGAAGAAAATTGCGGGAGGAGGGTTGCGTCATCGCGATTAAAGCGATGATCAAAAAGGTGACATTTGTGATCAAGCGACGCGATACTCGCGTTACAGGCGATGACATCGCGTCCATCGCGTTTGGTGTGAACGCACAGTTAGAATAAAATGGAATAGAATAAAACCAGGGATAAAAAAAATTATTAAATGATTCAGACTTTAGGCTATAAAATTATTTCAAAGAACTGTCTTTAATTTAAAAACACAAAGACGGAGCCTGTCGCTCTAAAATCCAGAGTCACTGAGTTCATCAGGTTAGGGCCATAAAATCAGAAATCACTCTCAACATTTTTATTGATGCCTTAGGATTCAATAAATCAGTCAACCAAGACTTAATTGACTTTAGTTTTTTGTCTGTTTTCTCTTCCTGTAGCATCCTGGCAGTTGAGAGCAGAGAGGATGCTGGGATTTTCCTGGTTCTGGCCACCACAGGTCATTACTCACTGTTTCCGCTGATCTTCACCCCCGCAGGTAAAAAACAGACGGACAGCTGAAACTTTGATTATTGTCGATCTAAAGATTGTTGAAATGTCAGTGAGCTGCCAAATTTAAAGTGCTGAGAAATTTACATTTTATTTTCTGACCCTTCAAAGTTTCATCACTTTTCTTTTGCTCTTTTCAGACAGATTCTGCCGTTTAGTTTCTTCATTTTGAATTTTTTAAAAGGCTTAAATTCAATTCCAGGCTTCATTTAAACAGATGTGAAAAGTCTGTTTACTCAGAGACAGTACTCAAGTATACATTTGAGTATTTCCTCCACCTCTGCATTTTCGTCTTCTTCTCTCAAATGTTCGAACAGTTGTGAAGCAGTTGAAGTTCAGTGAGCTGTGCAGGAGCGGTGACCTCTGATGACCCCTCCTAACGTCTGTTGTTTAATGTGTGTTACAGAGCTGCCCATCAAAGTGTGTCTGATGCTGATGTTCACCATCTACTCTGTCACCGCTCTGAGGAAACTTCACAGGTAAAGAAACAAGTTTTATTGTTTTTATTGTGACGCTTTAAATGAAGTGTTTACATGTGACAGTGAAGACGTCACGTAGCTGAACTGGATGTTTGAGGCCGAACATTCGTATTTTGTTTTTATGACGATGTGTTTCATTGAAAGATGCTGAGTTTACAGAGTTATTAAAAACTGTAAGTTGCAGAAACTAAGAAAATAATAATATTAATAATAGTGACAACAGTAAAAATAATAAACTACAGAGCGTCACCATATTAATACTTTGATCTTCATTGCACAGATTTCTGACGCTTCACATGTTGATCTCAGGAGATTTAAATTTAAAAAAAGATCATAGGAACGATAACAAGAACTCCAGTACCCAGAGTGCTTTGCGGCGTCATCAGTTGTAATCAGATTACTGACTCTCTCCTCTCAGCGGTCAGGGGTCTCTGCTCCATCCTCTGGAGTCCATCTACCTGCTGGGACTGGTCGCCGTGGCGGTCGCCTGCGAGGTCGTCTTCCCTCTGTCACCATGGCAACAGAAGCTGCCCTTCCTCCCGCTGCTGGCGACCTCGGTGTACTGCTCCGTGGGCGTCTGTTACTCCTTCCTGCGTCTGTACGTCAGTCTGCTGAGGGGGCAGAAGGAGGAGAAGCCCAAACAGCTGTGACACGGCGTCTTGCGCCCGAGAGGTCGCAGGTTAGATCCCCCAGAACACACCTACACCCTGACGAGGCACTCAGACGCTGACTGACCAATCAGGAGACAGAGACTCATGTTTCCAAAAACTCTGTTGGTGATGTGCTCTGAGACTCCGCCTCCATTTCCGTTCTTCTTCTTCTTCTTTTTATTGTGGAGTACTGATCAAACACAGACCACATGACGTCACATCCAGATGTTTACAGCAGCTGCACTGTTACAGCACTGACTGTAAATACACATTTTTGATGCCAGGAGCTATGCAGGACAAAAAATGACTCAAGTATCAACAAATAAATAAATAAATAAATAAATACAGGAATAAATAAAATAATATATAGAGGAGTAAATAAATAAAAGAATAAATGTCTAAAAAAAATGTTGAAGTAAAAATGGATATTAAAAGATAAATGCATGAATAAATAAAGTTTGATAATTAAACATGACATATGTAAATAAATATCAAATTTATTTCAATGGTTTTTGTACAACTGCATTTATTCATTTATTCATTCATTCCTGTATTAAACACTTATTTAATTTTTCATTTATTGATACTTGTGTCATATTTCTTCCTCCTCACATTCAGCGAGCACTTCTACATGATTCCACTGATCAGTTTTTTGTGTTTCTAATATAATCGATGGAGAACCCAGCTGGGCTGCTGATAAATACAAGACAAAAACAAACAATCCTCAACCAGAGTTCAGTGACGCTCGGATCCAAAATTCTGGAACTGAAAGTGTGAGTTTATGGAGGCGGCAGATTGAGCTGCACGGTACGAGGAAAATGGGACAACATTGAACACTGCAATAACAATATTAGGATAAATAAACAGATACTAAAGTGAACTCCAACTTTTCAGAATGCTGCTGAAATACAACATCACCTGTTGAATTAAAAAATGAAAGGAAATTATTTCCAACATTTTTTATTGAATAACTTGAACACTGAACTGAACACAAAAGGCACCAAAAAAGACAGTTAAATTATAAAGTGCAGTTTCCTGCTGATACTCTCCTTCAGCTAACTCCAAAAATCTCCTAAGTAGATTATCTACAGCTGAAATAATTTTTATTGATAGAAAAATATTTTAGTTTTGTGGAAACCTGTTGAACGGGAGCCGGAGAAATCAACTTGGATTTGCGGTCTGAAAACTTAAGAGACTCAATACATCAGGATCCAGCTTACGGTCCCCGAGTCGTATCAACAACAAGAACGTGTGTTTCTGTGGCTGCGATTCACCTGAAGCCTTCAGACTAGGAGTGACGAACTACTTCCTGTTTTTAATAAATAAAACACCACGTGGACCAAAGCAGAGCTGAAAGACATTTATGTTTGTTTATTTTGAAATAAAAACAAATTTAATTTATCCCATTTTGTGTATTTAATGATGTTTGTTAAATCTTCATCTTCATCACCTTCTGACTCGAGTGCTGCACGCGAGTACAAACTCAAGGTAAGTCTACTCTACTGGGGGATTTTCTAGGGGTGTATCGACCTGGATCGATATATTGATTTAATGATCGTCGATGCAAAGTGAAAACATCAGCTCATATCACCACCATAGTGTACGCCTTTAGGGGGCGATCACACAGAAATGAGACGCTAGAGACGCGGACGCTTCAAAGACGCTTGAAACGCTGGAAGCGCTTTTTCAATGCACGCTAGACAAAAAAAACAGCAAGGAGCGCCTGTGGAGCGGGGGTGCGTGCACAACACACACACACACACACACACACACACACACCTCCTGTCATCTCTCTATGTCTCCCCTTGAATATGTTTCCCTCAAAGACAGTAGAGACAGTAGCTTACATGAAACTATCACAAGCTCAAATCAAATCCAACTTTGTTTATATAGCACTTTTCATACATAAAAATGCAGCACAAAAACTGTGAACTATGAAATAAGGTCACCAGCCCTCTCACATATCCCACTGTCTGAAAGTTAACTAGCTGCTACGACCATATCTTCGTTGTCAAATACATAATACTTAAATTCGTTGCGCTGAGTTTGTCTGAGTACTCAGACAAATTTGTTGCGCTGTTCGCACAGTTCCATGCGTGTCCCCTCCTGTGTTTGTTCGAGTACTGAGGTGTGCGTGTGTTGTATAATTCTTAAAAATCAAATATTGTCAGGATAAATTTCTCGTCTTCGGATTGCATTGTGTTGTGTGTCGCTCATAACTGCCGTAACAAAACAGGAAGGAGGATTTGATTGGCTGCCTGGGCCAATGACGACAATGACGAATGGTGCTACTGACGTCTGACGCTCAAAAAGTTGAAAATATTTTAACTTTTCAGCGTCTACGCCGGTCAGACGCACATATCATAGGAAAACAATTGTTTCACTGGCGTCGCGCTTCCAGTGTTTCATCTCTGTGTGATCGCCCCCTTATTTTGAAATTTTGCGTCACTGTCACACAGCAGCAGCCGAGAGAAAGACGATGAGGATAACGTTATTTACTCAGGAATAAATCAGCAGTGGAAATATTATCGATTATGGAAACAACAGCTTTATTAATCCCACCAGCAGCAAATTGAACAGCTTGCTTTGCACACACACTAAAACATACCGTAACATGTATAGATTAGTAATAACATATATACATACATATATATATATATATATATATATATATAAAATTAAAAATGAATGAATGATTGAGGCCCCGCTTCCAACACTGTTTCCAGGTCTCTTCATTGTTTCAACAAAACGACACACATTTTGTTTAAAAACTTTATTGATAAGGCAACACAAAACATGATGCATTACAATGAACGTAGAGTTTTTACAGTTTTACACATCTTCACTGTAAAAGTCTCTCTATTGCACAGTAAGAACTGTTTGTTAGCGCTGTCGCTAATCTGCAGGTGGGATCTGACTATACGACTACCAGTTAGCAGTTTTAAGGACAGAATGGCCTCCTCGACTTTAACCTCCAACTCTTTGTCTGTCCTCTCTCCGCAGACATCCTCCTCCGTCATCTTGATCTCGTTTCACTCATCGTATAAAAGTAAAAACACGCCAGTCATTCAGTGATTTCCTTAAGAAATAAGAGACCAGTCGCACAAAACTATGAATAACTACCACTGTGAATTTACAAAATGAAATAATGTTCATCCAAACGTCATCAGACTTTCTTAAAGAATGTGAACATACACTGAAGCAGAGGAAACATTAAGTCTTTCAAAATAAAACCAAATGGCAGTTTTACACATGAAAAATGTTTCAGTGCGATCTGATCCAGAATCAGTTTGTGTTCCTAATTTATTATGATTTAAATGGTCGAATGAGTTTCCTTTGGATTTTAAACAGTTACATCAGTGGATCTGCTTCTTAATCCTTCAGGTACACATGTAAGTATACAAGCAGTAGTAGAAGAAGTATTCAGACTTTTTACTGCAGAAAAAGTACTAATACCACAGCGTGAAAAAACACTCCACTACAAGTAAAACCTCACTGAAGTTAAAGTATGTTTCAGCAGTACAAGTGTTCATTTTTTTAATGTTATATATGATGTTTTAGGATTAATATTACTGAAAACTGTGTCTGCAAAGTAACTAAAGCTGTCAGATAAATATAGTGCTGTAAAAAGTTTAATATGTACCTCTGAGAAGTGATGTCACTAGCTCCGCTGCTGGCTTAAAGGTGAGACAACTCTGTACCATCATTCTGCCTTCATACCTTTTATACAGGACGGCGAGGCAATATAATGGGGTGATACTGAACAGGCAGTGTGAAAGGGGCTAATGTCTTACGACATTTTCGGCCACTGTTATTCTTTGAGTTAGCTGCTAACTGCATCTAGCTGCTTTATAAATCTCCCGGTGGTGGCCCAAAAACATAACATGTCATCAAAGCATCAAACCAGTCCCATCCTTCCGGCTGTCCCTTTTACACGGACGTCATTTCACCGCTGTTTCTACCTCCGCCACCGGTTCAGAGGTGAGACAACCCTGCCCCCCATTCCATGATTGCACCTTTTAGACCACGTGACATTCCCGCCTTGAACAGGTATTGTGAAAGAGGATAATGTCTCCTTGGTTTGCACCATTTTCGGCCACTGTTCTTTGAGTTAGCTGCTAACTGCTGTTAGCTGCTTTGTAAATATCCCAGTGATGGCTTACAAACATTACACGTCATTTAAACGTTACACCAATCTTGTCCTGTCCCTTTTACACAGACGTTTCTTTGCCGCTGTTAGTACCTCTGCTGCAGGTTCAAAGGCGAGACAACTCTGTACCATCATTCTGTGGTCGCACCTTTTAGACAGAACGGCGAAGCAGAAAAACCATGCAATATTCCCACCTTGAACAGGCAGTGTAAAAGGGGCTAATGTCTTTCATTTTCGGCCACTGTTCTTCGTTGAGTTAGCTGCTAACTGGTGTTAGTTGCTTTTTAAATCTCCCGATGTTGGCTTGCAAACATAACACAACGTCAAAACATCACACCTGTCCTGTCCCTTTTACACAGACATCATTGCACCACTGTCACGACCTCTGCCGCTGGCCCAAAGGCTTGACAACTTTGTCCCCCCATTCTGGGGTCGCACCTTTTAGACAGAACAGCAAAGCAGAAGAATGACGCGACATTCCTGCCTTGAACAGGCTGTGTGAAAGGGGCTAATGTCTCCACACAGTGGCTCGCAAACACAACACTTCGTCATAGCATCACACCCATTCTGTCCTGTCATTTCACCGCTCTTACTACCTGCGCTGCAGGCTCAAAGGCGAGACAGCTCTCTACCATCATTCTGTTGTGATCACACCTTTTCGACAGAACGGCAAAGCAGAAAAGCAATGCGGCATTCCACTTTTAACAGTAAAAGGGGCTAATGCTACCTCTCTCATGTCTGTAGACTACATATGAAGCTACAGCAGCAGCTGGTTAGCTTAGCTTAGCATAAAGACAGTAAACTGCTAGCCTGGCTCTGTGCAGAGGAAACAACCTACCAGCTCCTTTAAAGCATATGTTTAATATATTGTGATGTGTTCACTGTTTTATGTGGGGTTTGTTAAAATTTGTCCTGGTGTGGCGTGATGTGGCCCGGTTGGCCTGGTGCCAGAGGACCTGATAGAGCAGGTTGTTGTGGATTACTCTGTCCATGAAGACACAACTCAGCTCTGGGGTGGAAGCCAGAATCAGAGAGTAGACTTACTGGTCTTCAGTAGAGTTTTCTGTCCGTGAAGCTGCAGGTTGAGTTTGTTATTTAAGGGAGTTTTTCTGCTTTCAGTTCATATCTTCCTCCTCCGGTCTGCAGGTTTCTGTTCTTGACTCTGTCTGCAAATCTGCTCCATTACGGCTCAGGACACTGAACCTTTTAACAGCATTAAGAGGATCAGGAGCTTCCGATCAGCTCTCTGAAGGACAGACTCCCAGCATGCTCTACTCTCAGAGATACCACAAGCTTCTGTGGTCGAAAATCACTTTGACTGTGTTGATAAAGATATTCTGAGACATCGATGCTCATCACAACACGTAAAGAGGAGCAACAACCGTTCAAAGCAAAGAGCCAAACCTTTCATAAGTGTAAAATAGAGATTCATCCATGATTTGGAAGAAATATTGGAAGAAAATAATTAATGATTAAAATATTTTAACTAATTTTTTGCAGAAAAATACAAAACATGACTGTGTCCTGAATATCGGAAAGTTTTGGACTGTTTGATTGGACGAAGGAAAACTTCTGAAGACGTTTTATAGACTAAAGGAGTGATTGATGGATTCATTATTAAAACATAATCAGTAATTGCAAATCAAAACTTTTCAATAACTAATTTGCTCACAGTCATCTTGACGATCACAGCAGATCATATCATCACGATTTGATTGTGCTAAACGTTAATTCTCTTAATTTCTTTGACCCAGTTTCTTTGTCCTGCGGTGATGTTAACCTGCTTCCTCTGCTGTTTAAGAGCTTAATTAAAAGATTAAAAACTGGATTGGAATAAAGTTTAAACCTCCTGAAGCTTGAATTTGAAGTACTTTTGCCTTTAAGAGAAAAACATTCAAACCCAAGACTCGGCTGCAATATTCCATCAAACCAAAATATTCTACATGTCTTGTGCATGAGTTTAGACACATTTACCCCCAAAAATTCAGGCTTAAAATTTGAGGCAGCGTTTCGTTTGAAATCGATAATACTTACGGATGCCGGGACCAAAGTGTCAATACATTACTTTGAGAAATATAAACATGTTTTTCTGCCAAAAGTTTGTTCCATTAACAGAAAAAAAAAATTCTTAAAATTAAATGTCTAAAAGCAAGCAGCGATTCAAAAATGTGCGGTGTAAAATTGGCAAAATTTGATTGGAATCAGGTCCTATCAGATCAAAGAAAAATATCGATTGCAGAAACCATTCGGTGACGACTTTTGGTACTTTTTGATATCTGGTGTTGTGGACACAATTCAGTTGGTACCCAAAAAGGTGTTGAGGTGCGACACCAAGCCCTGGACATCGTTGAACTTGAATCATCACTACAACTCGAGATAAAGTTCTGCAACATGATCACAACGTGATCTTTGTGATGGCGGATGATTTGTGAGGTTAAAGACGGTGGATTTTGTTGAAGGATGAAGGTGGCTGCTGTAAAACAGAATCATCAAAGTCTCCTTCAAAAATATCTTTGTCAAAAATTAGTTCCATACCTGGAGACGGGACGCTCAGAGGCTGGACGGCCAACCACAGTCCATCGGAAAGTCTTACATTTTCAACGTCCTTTGTTTCCGGCTGCTTTGCTCTGACCATGAAACATCAGGTGTCTTTAAGACGACCATTAGGGGGTGAGGGAGCAAGTCTTTTCTCTTATTGAGGGGTGACTGAGGGGTGATTATTTAACTTTTTCTCGGGGTGGGGGATTGCAGGATTTCTGCTTCAGTCAGTCTTTGTCGTTCTGGTGCACCTCCAGCGCTGCGCTCTCACCCCGCCCGGCCCTCCACAATGATGACTAACACCGGCGTCAGGTCCATCAGGTTCTTCAGCATGTCCATGATGTCCTCGTGGTCTCTGGCTCCCTCGATGAACTCCTCCAGAGTCAACTCACCTGAGGAAGGTCAAAGGTCAGAAGATATTTTAGGGGTTATAATGGGAAGTGGAAATTTTTACTTTGCAGTTTATTTCACCAGGAAATACTCTGTACCAGCACTGCTCTGCAGGGAATCCTGGGTTCATACATGAAAACAAAACAAATGAAGCAACCCAGTTGGTCTGATTTGAGCCTATAGACTAGTTTGTTGCCTTGTCCGGCTGATTCCAGATAATGGCTCCATAATACTGCAGGCTGTTCTTGAACGCAGCGTCTTTGGCTGCAGGGACTTTGCTTTGATTATTGCACCCTCATCCAGTTACAACTGTTTATCTCACATTTGGTGTGTTTGAGACTAAGACCGTAAAGTGGAGCACGGTTTAGGCAAGTTGAAGAAATGTGACTGGGCATCATCACCGTACGTATTTAATGTTAGGTTACATATTTAGGCAATGTTGCGTAGGTTAGGTTTAGGAAAGTAAAGGTAAGTAGTTTAGGTTTAGAAAAGTTACGTAGGCCAGGTTCAGTGAAGTAAAGTTAGGTGTGGTTTAGGAAAAGAAACGTGCTTGGGCGTCATCACATCATATATTTAACGTAATGCTACATACTTAGGTAAAGTTTTGTGGTTTTGGTTAGGTTTAGGAAAAGAAATGTGATTGGGTGTCATCAGAATACGTACTTATGGTAAAGTTACATACTTAACGTAACATACTTAACCCTATTGGCCCGAACGACGCATTGTGTGTCCAAATTCACACCTGTTCTTCTCTATTGATTTTCTCCGCGACCGTGCGTCATAGTGAGAAACCACGCATATCACGTGAAACAGCGGAATTGTTGCTTCCTACAAGGCCAAGCACTTGCGGGTAGTCCAATGTTTTCACAGCGAAAAAAAATGATAAAGTTACACTAAAATCATGAATAACAGAGCTTTCATACAGCTCTGCACACACATTACTCTTGGATGGATTACTCACGAATGCAGGCTCGCACAGAAATGCCACGCATATCACATGAAAGCGCAGGAGCAGAGCTTTCCACTGACACCACACACATCATTGTGCTGTCATCGCATCACGCTATAAATACAGATCAAGTGTCTACAAAATAAAAACCTGACGAATTTATTTACAATCCANACCAACTGGGTTGCTTCATTTGTTTTGTTTTCATGTATGAACCCAGGAGTCCCTGCAGAGCAGTGCTGGTACAGAGTATTTCCTGGTGAAATAAATAATAATATATTGCCAGATTCCAGAGAGTCTCTCCTCTTCATATATGGCAGAATATGTCAACTTCCAACTTGCTATGGTGAGATAAATGTAAGAATTTAGTCACACGGATTTGTTTTTTTCATTGATATAAAAATTAATATAAAATACAGGCACATAGAAGGACATGGAATGATGGCAAATCTGGATAGCCCACATTGTCCTGAAAAAAACAAGATATAGCATGTGTATGTAGCCTTTATAATGACTGTGATATGAGCTTAGAAGTAAAGGCAGTAAAAATACCCCAAAAAACACCTAGGGCCCATAGGGTTAATGAAAAATTATGTAGGTTAGATGTAGGAAAACAGACATGGCCGGGCGTCATCATGTTACGTATTTAACATGAAGTTACTTACGTTGGTAAAGTTACGAAAGCTAGGTTTAGGAAATTCAAGTTATGTAGGTTAGGTTTAGCAAAACAATCATGGTTGGGCGTCATCACATTATGTATTAATGTAAAGTTACATACCTAGGTAAAGTAAAGTAAAATAATGTTACGTAGTTTCGGTTTCGGAAAATAAATATGGTTGGGCATCACCATGTTATGTACTTAAGATAACATGACAAAGTGACGACGTACTTTAACATAACTTAAAGTGCACTTGATTTCACACGTGACATCACCACCCCAGCCTGCGTCCTTACACACTAGGCCTAATTCCTTCTTCACTCCCGTCAGTGCATTAGTCACGTGATCACAACCTTCCTGATGATACGGATCCTGGTGCGTTATGTTTTGTAGGTTTACATACAAACAGCGTACGAGAATAGCTGCATATTTGGTTAAACTTTCACCAGCTGTTTCCAGGAACCATCACAGGGCGTCACAGTATCAGCAGAAACATGATATTATCTACAGCGTCTGGTTCTTTACCTTCTCCCTTCACGTCGATCCTCTCGAATATGAGCGCAACGATGTCCTCGGGGTCGATGTCTCTGTTCCGTGTGATGTCCTGGATGGCCTGCAGGGGGAGACACACTCAGTCTGACCCGGATACAAATCATAAAATCAGGTGATTCTACTTCCTGTAAAGATTTAAAATGGCTGTTAAAGCTCAGAGTCTGAACTTTTGTTCTGTAGGTTTGTTCAGTTTTGTCTAAATGATGAGGATGAAATTACGCAAATCAAAGATGACGAGAATAATCTGTGAAAATTAAGAGAAAATAAATAGTGTTATTTTTCCTTTTTTCTTATCTAATACAGATTTTTGCATTTAAACTTAAACATCTATATCGTTTTTTAAGTTGCCTTTTTCTTTTCAGCATTTAAACATGGCCCAGTTTTCCTCAGCACTAAAATACAATTTAATTCAGCGTGTTATTCTGAGTCAGCGAGCGTCAAACGCCCCACAGCAGACTGGACTCTGTAAAGTCCCTTAGACTGGTTTGACATCCAGATTTACTGGGTTGAGAGTCAACGTCCCACTTCCAGCAGCTTCCTGTCGGCTGAGAGATTGAGCTCATTCAGCAGATTAACATTCGTCTATTCAGAGCTAATCCAGCCCAGTTTTCTGTCGGTGCGAGCGAGCAGCTCTGCTGATTCAGTCCGTCCACAGTTTGTAGGTCACTTCACAGCAAGTGTGTTCCGTGATGAAAATGTCAGAGCTTCTGTTCGTCGTGATGAACTGTTAAATGTCTTTAAAGTCATAAATGAATTTGACACGGTTCCATCCAGATGTCTTCTGCTTCTGTTTTTATTCCTCTGAATTCAGCTCGGTGTGTTTGGTATCTTTGGAATAATTGAGCATCGATGAATGAACTTTTTTTTTTTTTTTTGTAATTGTGTCATGTATATGACTGATCTGCTCGCATGGTTTTAAAAAACACCATCAGTTCATACACAATCAGTGTGCTGCATATACATTTTTACAAACCTGTCTTCTTAGAAATTACCTTTATATTCAAAGAATTAACAACAGTAAATATGTTTTGGAGGAAACATGATGCTGCACGGGTTAAAATGATGAGGAAATTAAATAACATATCTGTATGGATGGAAATAAACCCCAAAAAACAATACTGAAATTTACACTTTAACACTTTACTTTCCAATGTTCAGAAATTCAGATCCAAAAATTCAAGTTTTAGAATTACAAAAACAAAATAAATAAAATATTTCAGGTTGCTCCAGTTTGATTGGTCAAATCCACATCTAGAAATTCAAATTTTAGAATTTAAAAAAAAATTCAAATGCTTAAATTTGATTGGTTAAATTCAGATATAAAATAATCAAGTTTTAGAATTTCAAAAACAAAACAAAACAAAGTATTCAAATTGCTAAAATCTAACTGGTGAAATTGAAAACCAAAAATTCAAATTTTATGATAAAAAAAAACAACAGGTTGCTTAAATTTGATTGGTCAGATTCAGATCTATAAATTCAAGTTTGTTATTGAAAAATCTCTCAGCGACTGGTCGATTTTATTTTTAAACAATAGAAATATTGAAACAACTTTAAGAATCAAATCGTCAGACCTTTCTGTTTGCACCTTACTGCTCATTTTATATTTTATATTTTGAACCTTACTGTTACGTGTAATTCACTCGTGAATTGTTTTATTCACACCCAGTGTGGACACAATAAAGTGGATTAATGGACATTCTTCTGGATGGACATGAGAGATACTAATGTCCTCAGGAAGTGGACGTCACTGAATCTAAAAATGTTGATTTCATTTCTGTTTCAGTTATTTACAAGATGAGGGCATAAAATAATTTGACTGCTCCAGGTGTTTGGTGTGGAGCCTCACTGACCGTCCTGATGTCACACTGCCTGTCTGTCTGTCTGTCTGTCTGTCTGTGTGTGTGGTGATTACCGAAAAGATGGTCTCCAGCTCTTCTTTGTCAATCTTTCCGTTGCCGTCCTGGTCGAACAGTTTGAAGTACCACTTTAGTTTCTGGTTGATTTCTCCTTTCAGCAGCAGACTGATGGCTGCGATGTACTCCACAAAGTCGATGTAACCGTCCTGCAGGCAGAAAAGATGGAGATTAAACCACTGCGGGGACGTTAGCATCAGCTGTTTTGTTTCTACGCCTTGGCGCCCGCGATAGCCGCGGCTGGAGGCGTTATGTTTTCAGGTTGTTCATCCGTCCATAAATCCATACATACATATGTCTTTGTCAACACGATAGCTCAATAACGGTTTGAGGATATTTCTTTAAATTTGGCACAAGCTTCCACTTGGACTAAGTGATGACCTGATTAGTCTTTGGTGGTCGTAGACCAAAGGTCAAGGTCGCTGTGACCCTGTCTGTCTCATTTTTGTGAATGTGATTCATTTCTTCAAACTGGTGTGCAGAGGCTCAGAACAGTGACGCAGTAATTCTCGTTAAGTGCTGACTTTATTTTTAGTCTGGACGCCTCATCAGCTCTCCAAAGGGGGCGTACCTGTGTTCCCCAGCTCAGTATCTTCACAATACAACTCATGCTCTTAGCAGTGTTTTTCCCACAGTCCAACTCATCCTCACTGTGACCTCGTCACATGTCCACGTTTGGTCATGGACTTTCCACGTCCACATATGACGTCCAAGGTACCCTGGGTGTGTTGGTTGTTGACGTTCTGGGACGCCGTGTCAACTTCAGCCCGTTACATGCATTGTCTGTTTTCAAAATACACTTCTGTTTTCACAGGGTATTTAATGTTTACATACAGTCTCTTTCAAAATAAAAGCACTGCAAATTGATGTTTGTTTTTCCTTCAACAACAAACACAAGGTTAGATTTAGGAAACAAGAACAGGGTTTGGCTTTACAATCTCACAGGATGCAAACACCGCTCTCTCAGGTGAAAGTCAGTGTTTGTTAGACTCATCCACTTCCCCTCCTGCCCACCCCAGTCAGACTTTCACCAGGGGCTGTTAAACTATAACTGCTGTGTTTCATGCCGACTTTAAATGACGGCCTTTTTTTGTTGGTTTCTGACACTGCCGGTCACTGCCCAAGCGCCGGATTTCGACGACTTCGGAGTGAGAGCGGGCTCCTCAGTCAAGTGTTCAGTGTGTGTCTCCCTGCAGCCCATAGCCCACTGATGTTATACTCCTTAACAACCTACACCCTCAAAGTTGCGGTCATGTCATTGACTATGTTTATATGCACATTAATATTCCACTATTATTCAGAATATGAGAATATTCTGAAATTTATAAAGGTCATGTCAACAGCATATTTCATTTTGATATTCCAAATTAAGTTTTATTCCAATCGTAGCATTTTCTGATTAAGACGTGGAATGTGCAGATATCATTCAGGTTTTAGCAGCGTTCTTTGGACATGTATACAGCACATTCAGAATATGAGTCTCAGTTTGTGACTCCTGCACAATCGGCTCTGTGCGTTGTCATGGATACGTTCTACCCAAACCAACTCGCAGAAACAGTTTTTCAGGCTGCTGTAGAGATGTATGTCCCAAAAGCAAAGCCCACATTTCTGTTCAGAAGCAGAGATGCACCGACTAGATATAAAGAAATGTCACAACACCGAGCTTTTCAAGAAGGTTGAAGGAATGAAAGAGGGCGGCTGTTATTGTTCACATGGTCCAACATGTCCTCCACTGAGAGGGAACTATAAAAAAAAAATCCTATTTTGATGCAAAGAATCTAAATTATGAGCAGCTGTTTCACTGCTGTGTATTTTGACGTGATAAATGACATGTTAGTGCACGTTAATCAGAGTATTCACGGCTGCATGTAAACAGGAATATTAGGAGAACAGACATGTAAGCAGCTTAGAAGGAATATTGTTTTTGTGAAAAGGTAAAACAACAGAACCTTTGTGACGTCCACGTCCCTTCAGTCTTTTGCAGTTTGAATTGTGAATGGTCCGTACAGATCTCTGACAATGATAGTCAGGATGACCACCTCTTTAAAACTAACACTGTGTGTCGAATCTGTGGAGAGAAACTCAAGTATCAAAGGTTGAAATCAAATGTTTGGTCAGATTCTTTGTATTTTTTATGATTCCCAATTTAATCTTGCCAGTTTTAAACTCATTTATTTTTCAAACAGATTCATTTATGGCTGCTTTTAATCAGATACGCAACATGTGACTTATTTTACCAACTGTCTTTATTGTTTAGTTTTTATATTTATTTTGTCTTGTCTTATTTATTTTATCATCATTACCACGTCTCTATTTAATTTCATTTTAATCTTTTAATGTATTTATTCTTTTCAGCCTTTTTAAATTAATTTTTATTATTACCATTACTTTCTTTACATTACTTTCCAGAAATGGCCGTTGAAATGTATACGCTGAACTTCTGATTCATGAAAAAACTTCAATAAACAAAACTGTGGAATAACTTATTAAAATATAAAATGTAAATATAATCTATATATTCTATATAGTGACAGTTGAAACATCATTTAGGCCATAATTATACAGTATTATAGTAATAAGTACAAACACGTTTATATTTCTAAAATTAACGAAAAAAGAAAATAAGTAAAAAATAAAGTATTATATTTATTATTAATCCACTTGCACTCTTTCTTAACTTTAATACTTTGAGACTTTTGACTTTAGTGGTTAAAGTTTCTTCTGTCTGTTGATTTCATTAAGAATCAAAAGCTTCTAATTTATGTTCGTAAATAAATCCAAACTCTAAAGTTTCTAAACTTGTGAAGATAAAAAACTGCGTGGGGAGCTCTAGTTTGTGAATGTCCTTCCTCTGATGAGGTGCAGCTTTCAGAACATTGTCCCTGAACTCCACCGCCACACACTGTGAGCATTGTGAATCCACTTAACTCGCCATAAACACTCTGCATGCAAACGCTGTAATCCAATCAGACGGAGAGCCAATGAAAGTAATGCTGCAGCCATCTTTGTCCCGAGTCACACAGCAGACTGCAGCTGAGTTAACGCTGAGGTCTCTGCTGCAGTTTGATTTAGTAAGATTAATTTAACTGAAATTTGATTGAAAATTTTAAAATTCAGTGTCAGAAACATCATAAAATGTCTTTATAATCACAGTTTCAAAAATGATATGAGACAAAACACGACTCCTGGTTAGCCTCGAAAATAAAAGCATAACGAGAGTTTATCCAATCCGAAACAGTAGTTTGACAGATTAATCTTTACTCAAGCTCTACTTACAATTAAATGAAAATAAACAAATAACATTTACTGAAAACAATATTCTTAAGGAAAATAAATGATTTTCAGTGGAGGCATAAAATAATAATGCTGTTAATAAGTTTCATTGAGTAGTATTTCTGGTGCTGACGAATAATCACGCTCGTTCCTGCTTTATAATTTAGTGCAACAGCATCTGTCATTAATAATATTTGAGATTACTCAGCACAGATTATGACACTTAAACCCCTCCATAAATATAAGAAAATAAAAGAAATAGCTTCACTCTCAGAAATAAAGGTGCTTTCTAGAACCATATAGGGTTCTTCAGCTTGTCCCCATAGGAGAACTCTTTTTGATTCCTGATAGAACCTTTCATAAAGGTACGACCTGGAACCCTTTTATAATACAATACAATATAAAGGGTTGTACCTAAACCATCTGAGAGGGGCGCCACCCACAACACTCTGGTACACCTTTTCCACTGAATTAGCTCTGGTTCTTGACCCAGTTCTGTTCAGGATTCTTGGAATCGTGGTGTTATCTAGAGAACCAGCCTGAGTTTGATTGGAACCTGTTATGTAAATGTATATAATTTTTAAAAATTTTACTAAGTATATAGAAAAAACATTGGTTAGTTATTATGTTTCGTGCACGTGTCCAGCCAACATGGATTTACAAGAACAAAAACAATATATGTTTTGGTAATTACTCTGCACATAAAATCTGGCACAAAACGTTTAGTTGACCCAGTTCTATTCAGGATTCTAGGAACCTTGATGTTATCTAGTGAACCAAACTGCGTTTCCACCACTTTTGAGTTTCACCTTTTATATGATATTCTTCTAATTTTGTAATCAAGGATGTGCAATCAACGGAGGGTGTTGCACAGTACACAGTGGAAGTAAACAGCAGGGGCAAAATTGCAGAACACATTGATTACCTGCAAACTTTTGTTCTGTTTCTACAGCATGAACCAACTATTGATGAGACCACTGCACAAACTTTTTTTCCCTGATCATTTCTCCCTTGACTTCTCCGCTCTTTCTTTCCGTGCTGTAGAATAGGACATGCACACTGATGTCATCACAGTTCAGCTCAAGAGAACCCTGCTATTTTTTGGTTCCAGGTGAGAACCAACTTTTCAGGTTCTGAAACAATTTATTTTTGGTCAAAATGCTCCGAATGGCTCAAAATTAGGTGCAGGAGTCAGAACAGAACTGGTTCCAAGTTGGCAGAAAAGGGGTATAATAGAGCTTCTACAGAGAACCCTTCTATGTTGTAATGGTTCCACCCAAGACCGAGACCACCTCTTCAAGAAGGTCTCGGTCCAGCTGTCTTGGTGCGCACCAGAGTGTAATTGCTGTGTTCACACCTGCTCTAAACGAACTGCACTGAAGGGGCAAACAAACCTGAGTTTTACTGAACCGAACCGAACAGGGCAGGTGTGAAAGCAACCTAAGAATACTACTTGTCTACAGTACCCAAAGATCTCTCTCTCTCTCTCTCTCTCTTTCTCTCTCTCTCTCTCTCTCTCTCTCTCTCTCTCTCTCTCTCTCACTAATCATAGTTCTAGTTTAACAGCTTATCCTGAGGCCAAGAGAACCATGTACAGCAGCCTTGGGCTTCATGAGGCTCCTGAAGGGCCTGAAGTAACTGATGTGGTCCAGGGCAACCCAGACCACTCATGGTTCACTGTCACATGTTTAGGACGTTTCTGCAGCCTTTACTATCTCAGTGCTGCAGTAGGGTTAGGAACTGAAACTTGGTTCCAAATTAGGACCAAACCCTAAAAAAAAGGTAAGAATTCCAGTGGTCTATACGACAGGAAATTTTGTTAAAGATATCAACATTAACAGAACAGGTAAAATGAACTGGGGAGATTCTATATTTAAAAATACTATTTGAAACATGGGTAAACATTTGAATATTTTAACATCTATGATTTCAACAATCCTTGAAGAACTCATTCTTCTACAAAGGGTTCTTCAGAAGCAAATGGTTCTGGGTCGCACCCAGCCCTTTAGGAAGAACTCTTTGGAAACCTCATTTCTTAGAGTGTAGAATGAAGAATCTTTATCCATGGTATAGTATGGATTTGTTAATGTCCAGCTGAGCTCACGTCTACCTGTCAAAAACCAGATGAAAGTTTACATCAGATAGTCACCTTACTTTTATAGTTTCAGGTTTTCTTCCTGGTAGAGTCTCCCAAAATGTTTTACCGCCCTGGGTCTGTGGGCTGTACGCAGCCTGCAGACAATACTCAGGGCTTTTTCAGCATAACAGAAATCAAATCTTTATTTTCATTTACAGTTCTGTACATTATTTACATTTCAATCAACCACGAGAAGCATCAGGTGAATTTGAATTGATTTTAAGTAAAGTTACATTACAGAGGTTTATGAAGTATTAAGAAAGGCATAACTTTTATCATCATTTGTTTGGTATATATACACACACACACGCGCGCGCGTTTATACACACACACTTGTGTCTTTCTATGTTTGTGAGAACCCTCATGGACAACATGCATTCTCTGGCCCCTGATCCATTTTTTTGTATTTTCCTTATTTTTATAACATTTTGAAAGCTCATTTAACATATTGTTGGAAAAAACAATTCTAACCCAAATTTTTACTGTAACCTGAACCTTAAAACAAAGTCTGAACCCTCAAACAGACCATTGTCACCAAGTGAGGACCCAGAAAAATGTCCCCATTTTAAAAAATGGTCTCTAAAGGTAAAAAACAAATTTCAAAATTAGTTTTATGTGTAAATATATACAGTCAGGTCCATAATTATTTGGACAATGATACAGTTGTCGTCATTTTGGCTCTGTACACCACCACAATGGGTTTTAAATGAAACAGTGAATACCTGCTTAAAGTGCAGACTCTCAGCTTTCATTTAAGGCTTTTTTCAAAAATGTAGTATGAACCGTGTAGGAATTACAACCATTTCTTCACACAGTCCCCCGACTTTAAGGGCTCATAAGTATTTGGACAAACTAACATAATCATCAATTAAACAGTCAGTTTTAATACTTGGTTGCAAATCCTTTACAGTCAATGACTGCCTGAAGTGTTGGACACATAGGCATCATCAGATGCTGGGTTTCTTCCCTGGTGATGCTCTGCCAGCCCTTTACTGCAGCCGTCTGCACTTCCTGCTTGTGTTTTGGGTGTTTTGCCCTCAGTTTTGGCTTCAGCAAGAGAAACGCATGCTCAGTTGGATTCAGGTCAGATGATATGACTTGGCCATTGCAGAACATTCCACTTCTTTGCCTTAAAAATGTCTTTGGTTGCTTTTGCAGTATGCTTCAGGTCAATGTCCATCTGCACTGTGAAGCATCGTCCAATGAGTTTTGAAGCATTTGGTTGAATCTGAGCAGATAATGGTGCCCCAAACACTTCAGCTTTCATCCTGCTGCTCTTGTCAGCAGTCACATCATCAATAAATACAAGAGAACCAGTTCCACTGGCAGCCATACATGGCCATGACATAACAGTACCTCCACCATGCTTCACTGATGAGGTGGTGTGCTTTGGATCATGAGCAGTTCCTTCCCTTCTTCCTTCTCTTGTCTTCCCATCATTCTGGTAGTTGATCTTTGTTTTATCTGTCCATAGTATGCTGTTCCACAACTGTACAGGCTTTTTAGATGGTTTTTGACAAACTCTAATCTGGCCTTCCATTTTTAAGGCTAACCAATGGTTTGCATCTTGTGATAAACCCTCTGTATTTATTCTAGTGAAGTCTTGTCTTGCTTACAAGAGCAGCAGGATGAAAGCTGAAGTGTTTGGGGCACCATTATCTGCTCAGATTCAACCAAATGCTTCAAAACTCATTGGACGATGCTTCACAGTGCAGATGGACATTGACCTGAAGCATACTGCAAAAGCAACCAAAGACATTTTTAAGGCAAAGAAGTGGAATGTTCTGCAATGGCCAAGTCATATCATCTGACCTGAATCCAACTGAGCATGCGTTTCTCTTGCTGAAGCCAAAACTGAGGGCAAAACACCCAAAACACAAGCAGGAAGTGCAGACGGCTGCAGTAAAGGGCTGGCAGAGCATCACCAGGGAAGAAACCCAGCATCTGATGATGCCTATGTGTCCAACACTTCAGGCAGTCATTGACTGTAAAGGATTTGCAACCAAGTATTAAAACTGACTGTTTAATTGATGATTATGTTAGTTTGTCCAAATACTTATGAGCCCTTAAAGTCGGGGGACTGTGTGAAGAAATGGTTGTAATTCCTACACGGTTCATACTACATTTTTGAAAAAAGCCTTAAATGAAAGCTGAGAGTCTGCACTTTAAGCAGGTATTCATTGTTTCATTTAAAACCCATTGTGGTGGTGTACAGAGCCAAAATGACGACAACTGTATCATTGTCCAAATAATTATGGACCTGACTGTACGTACACACACACACTCACACGCACACACACACACCAATCAGCCAAACCATTTAAACCACTGATAGATGAAGTGAATAACATTAATCATCATGTTACAATACAGTGTTGCTGTATTGTAACAATACAGTGTTGCTGGGCAGGGTTCCCAGGGTCTTGGAAAACCTTGAAAAGTCATGAAATATCACATTTTCCAGGCCTGGTCATGTAATGAAACTGTTACTGTAGTCTTCTGTGTTTAACCTCCCACGTAATGTGACATAACGGCATATTAATTTTCTGTAGCTGATGATGTAACGTAGCTCTAATACATGTTGTGTTTACCATCGCGTTCATCTTTCCCTTCATGTATACCGACGAGCTGAAATTATGTTTAAATAGAGTTTGAATCTGATGTTTAAAATGTCATGCAAACAGGGCAAGAAAAAAATCTGTATTGACTTTGTAAAGTCATGGAAAATGTTTGTTCGTGAAGATGTGTGGGAACCCTGGCTGGGAAACCTTTGGTCCTGACAGAGCGCCATGTCACACCATAAAAACTGTTTGGGAATGACCCGATGAAAGTGACAAAGAGCTCAAGGTGTCCACCTGGCCTCCGAATTCCCCAGATCCAATCTGATCGAGCATCTGTGGGATGTGCTGGTACCCCAGAGGAACCTCTGATCCACGGTGAGGCCTCCTTGGATCGGACTTGGCCCCAGCCTGTGGAACCATAGACACAAGACCTCTGGGGGTGTCCTGTGGTGTCTTGCACCAGGGCGTTGGCGTTCTGTCCTTTGAGTCTTTTGGGCTTTGAGGTAGGGTACCAGCACGTCCCACAGATGCTCAGTCAGATTGGATCTGGGTAATTCGAAGGCCAGGTTGACGCCTTGAGCTCTTTGTCACGTTCTTTGGGTCATTCCTGAACAGTTTTTATGGTGTGACATGGCGCATTGTCCTGCTGGGGGGGCACGGTCATCGGGGAGTGCTAAGTAAAGGGGGGTACTTAGTGGGTGGGTGGAGCGTGTCAAGTGGCGTCTACATAAGTACCAGGACCAGACGTTTGTCAGCACAACATTGTTTATATAAATGTCTCCTAAACTACTGAGTCCACTATTCAAGTATTCAAAGTTGCATGTATTTAAAGTATCAGCACAGCTGCTGAGCATACTTGAGTACTTTTACTGCTGATACTTTAACTACATGAAGCTGAGTATACTTGATTACTTTTACTATTGATACTTTAACTACATGAAGCTGAAAATACTTGATTACTTTTACTACTGATACTTTTACTACATGAAGCTGAGAGTACTTGAGTACTTTTACTGCTGATACTTTAACTATATGAAGCTGAATATACTTGATTACTTTTACTACTGATACTTTAACTACATGAAGCTGAGAGTACTTGAGTACTTTTACTGCTGATACTTTAACTATATGAAGCTGAGTATACTTGATTACTTTTACTACTGATACTTTAGTAAAATTTTTAATGCAGGACTTCAGGAATTCAGTTTTTGTTTGTAGAGTAGTACTGCAGTTTTTACTGAGCATATCATTTCCTCCACCATGGTCAGTTGCTACAAGTATGAAGTAGCACAAAGTAGAAATTCTTGAGTCAAGTTTGAGTACTGCAAAATATTTAATTTATTTTAAAACAGACTGAAATATTCATACTTGATTTTTTCACCTTTTCTAAGAAAAAACTAAAATTTCAGACTTTCTTCCTCTTGATGATGACGTTTCAGAACCTGATCACGTTTATTGAGGTCCCACTGAGGCTCAGACCAGACTGGTTCTGGTCCAGTGAAACCAGTACACAAACAGTGGCAAACATTCAAACTGTGGAACCTCGCTGTGTGAAGCGTGTGTCGGTGTGAAGCTCACCCCATCCATGTCAAAGGTGAAGAAGACCTGGTCCACATAGCTGTTGGCGTTCTCCGTCATGCCCTTCAGGCCCAGGATGGCCTTCAGCTCAAACAGCGTGATGAGGCCCGACGGAGACTCCCTCATGAACTTGTTGTACCAATGGTGCATGTCCTCCGCCAGGATGTCGTCCAGGTTCGAGCCGTGGTTCCCCATTGGTCCGGTCCGACGGGAGCACCGAGGCGAAGAAAAACCTCAAGAGAAGAAAGTATGAGGGATTCTCACCCTGAAAGAGACGCTTCTAGAAAAAGAGATGAAACCAGCGAGAGCTGCAGTGATCCTCAGCGGGTGGATGTTTGAGGAACAACAATGAGAGCTTTATGGAGACAACTGAAAGAGTAAGAAAGGTTGGAAATCCGTGGTGTCGGCGGCAGGCTTCAGCTGCAGAACGGTCAAGCCGGCCGACATCCAGGCTGCAGTGACTCTGCAGGCAGAGAGCAAACCTCAGGACTCTCTAACCCTCTTAGGTCCCACAGGAAAAAAATCAAGGAAGCACTCAAAATAACTCCCTAATGAGATCAGGCCACCCGGCCGCAGGGCTCTGCTGCCATTAGAGGCCGAGCCAAGAGGCTTTACCTGCCGAGTTCAGGTGAGGGAGTGGGGCTGGCCCTGGAAGCAGGATGGTTATATAACAGACTCACCTGGGTGTCCTGGTTCAGACAGAGAGGTTCCCTGATGGGATACCCAGGCAGGACGTTTCCACCCGAGGACAGGCAGATGGGTCAGGTCATGTGTGGACACCTTACAGGCTGGACTGAGGGCTTCAGTAACAGATGCACCAAACAAACGTTGAAAGTAACCAAGTAAAAGTACTGTGCCTAAGTACCATTATGAGATAGTGGTACTTCATCGTGAGAAACAGAAGTGCTTGTTTTAAAATAAACCTCCAATCATGGTCGCTCTTGAGCTCTGGTCCACTGATGGAGGATTTATGTCTTTGTTCTCTAAATTGAAGAAATATTCAAATGAACTCTGTCTTTAGGCGACTAAAGCAGTGTTCATTTTGACAGCTGTTTAGATTTAGTCTCAGTCCTGAGACGAAAATGTTTATTAGTTTAGTCACATTTTAGTCGTTTTTACCATTCATAGTTTTAGTTTGAAAAATCAAGACATTTTAATCAACTTTTTATCCTGATGTTTTCTATCTGTGTTTTAAACTAATCCAGTGAGGCTAATTTGATTAGAAATTATAATCCAGGTGACAGGTTTAGCCCAGATCACACAGGATGCTGGAGCTGCCTTTTTCTAATTGATTTTACTGAGAATGAAACTGAAAAATCTTCAGCTCTGAGCAGAAAAACGGCCCACATTATCTCCGCCTTTTCCCTATTGTCCAATGGGATGATTTTAGAGGCGGGCCTTCTGTGGTGGTCACAACAACAAGTTTACTGTTGGTAAACGATGGAGGAGAAACTGGTGGTAGCGGTTGCTGGATACTCAGAGCAGCCTGCAAAACGTGTCCTGTGTGATTGGGGCCTTAAGGGCTGATTTACGAGCACACACTTACTGATCATCATTTGAAAAGCTCAACATCTCTCTATTTATGCTCTCAACAAATAACTAATGTGAGCCAACTAGGATTTGTCCCCAGGTTCATTGTAAACTCTGACTTATCCATGTGACTGTTAAGAAGCAGAAACATAACTTGCTTCTTCATGTGCAACATGTTAGTCTGGAGGTTTAAACTGGTGTCCTCTCACAGAGTTGGTGATTCAAACTAAACTTTCATCTGAGTTCAGACTGTTTACTTACAGCACAGCTACACTCACAGATAACTGAGCCTCCTACCTGCCTGTCAAACACCATCAACCCACAAACCTTCTCCAGTCCGGACTGAGTGGAGTCCTGCGGGGTGAAGCTGTGAAGGCTGCGAGCGGAGCTAGCTGCTAACAGCCACCACTGCAACTAACAAACTCCACAAATCCATTCAGCAGCTCCACCATCCACAGTCAGACACACACGGCTGATTATTTACTGCTGAGTTACAGCTCACAACTTGCACCGACCCAAACATCCTGGGGCAGACTATTTACTGGAGTTTACCAGCCTGTCGCTCATCAGGCATCTGAAGATCATTACAGATACGGCCGTTGTCTGCTTTCAATATCTGATAGTCCATCACTAACATTTTTATCATGTCTCGTCAACAAAAATGAAACATAGATTTTGTCTAAGTTTTTATTATCAGGAGCTATTTTTAGCTCTTGATACAAAAACATGATACACAACTACAAAGAGAGGCAACATGGCTACAACAACACACAGAACTACAAAAAGATGCAAATATTCACAAAGAGACATAAAATGATCACAGAGACCTAAACCAACTGCAAAGAGACAGGAAACAACCACATAGGGATGCAAACCAGATACAAAGATACAAAAGGACTATGAAGAGATGCAAAATGACCTCAGAGACACAAACCAACTACAAAGAGATTATCACAGAGACACAAACGGACTACATCTGAGAACAACCTTTTAGATTTCTGTCGCGGGGCCCGTGGTTTCATAATCTCCCCATGGCTGTAGAATATTTGGAGCTACAAACAGCTGCTATTTATTGATATCATTTTATATTTTAATATTGTAAATGGTTTATTAAGTGATCATTTATTACAGTGATTAAACAATTTAACTATTTATCATGTACAGTTTATTATTCTCAAGAAGTAGGGCTTTAAAACACCTTTATTACTCAGCTTTACAAATGTGCCCCTTCTTTAAAACTACTTTGAATTCTTTAAATCACTTTCAATTTGTCCATAAATGTGTCCATTGAGGACAGTCTGAAGTCCTCAGCGGTCCTTGCACCTAACATCAGCGCCAGATTTGAGCGTCAGCGACTTTACTCGGAAACAATGTCGGAGTGTGTTAATCAGATCAGACCATCAGCAGCTCGTCAGGTTAAATTAGAGCTGAGCTTTTATTAGACTCTACTGTGGAAAACTCACTTTAATGACTCAGAAAGTGAAGGATGTTTCCATTGTTAAAGGAAGATAAAACACTCTGTTACTGTTCTTCTACAGTAAAATTATGTTGTATAATTAGTAAACTGTGAAGTATTAAAAGTATAACTAGGATTAACACCTCGCAGTTGTATGACTCCACCCACCAGTGAAAACATGGATGCTTCACACACAGAAGATCTATACAATCAGCACAGTTTCAAGATTAGAGTCACCAATTCAGTATCTGACCAAATGTCTCCCCTTCTGTTCCTGAGATATGACGCTAAAACAGGATGATGTCACAGTCAAGCTGACCTTTGACCTTTTGGATATAAAATATCATCACTTCATTATTTTATCCTGTTAGACATTTATCTGAAGTTCTGTCATAATTAATTATTGAATTATTGAGTTATGGCCAAAAACATGTTTTGTGAGGTCACAGTGACCTTGACTTTCAACCACCAAACTCTAATCTATTTATTGTTGAGACCGAGTGGATGTCTGTGCCAAATTTAAGGAAACTCCCTCAAGGCCTTACTGGAATATTGCGCTCATGAGAATGAGACAGACAAGATCACAGTGACCTTGAACATTGACCTATAACTACCAAAGTGTAATCTGTTCATTGTTGAGTCAAAGTGGACATTTGTGCCAAATTTGAAGAAATTAAGATATGGCATTCACAAGAATGGGACAGACAGACAACCTGGAAACATAAAGCCTCTCACCATAGCTGTAACCGGGGGCGGAGCCATGAAAACTGTCTCCTGTGGCTGTTGTTCTATTATATATGACATCATCAGATGATTCTGACTCGTGCATCAATGTGAAAGCAGATTTTACTGTTGTAGTTGCTTGATATGGAGCTAATTTAAACTGTAAGGTACTTATTATTATCAGTATGGTTCCATCTACTGATTATTTTCTCTACATTGTATTAATACATCTGCATTTGTTAACATTATGACAAATACATTATTAACACAATTATTGATACATTGGAAATATTAATATTATTACAAAGACATTACAGCTATTGCTATTATTATTTATACATAACAGTGATAAACATTTTTACTAATACATTATGATTATTAATAGTATTACATAATATTGCAATCATTTATACAATTACAAATACATTCCCACTATTAACACTATGACGTATTATTAAGAAATTAAATTACTAACATTGTTGCTAATATATAACATTTGTTAACATTATTACAAATACATTAAAATTATTCATATTATTACTGATACATTTCAATTATTAACACTATTACTGATATATTACAATTTTTAACATTACTACAAATACATTACAGTTATTAACTCGATTACAAATACATGACAGCTATTACCGTCATTACTAATACACTGCAGTTATTAACATTATTACTAATGAATTACAATTATTAATGCTGTTACTAACACATTTTAATTGTCAACACTATGACCAATACATTAAAACTTTTACCATTATTACTAACACATTGCAAATACTGGCTCTTTTACAAAAACATGACAGCATTAACATCATTACTTATACATTAAAAAAAAAAGTTTTAACATTGTTACTAATAAATTACAGTTATCAACATTATTATATATATATTACAATTATCAACATTTTTAAAAAAACATTACTATTATTAACACTATTACAAAGACATTACAGCTATTACCCTTATTACTAATACATAACAGTGATTAACACATTACAATCATTAACATTATTACAAACACATTACAGTAATTAACACTTATACTGATACTTTTCAATTATTAACACTCTTACATATTATAATATTAATTAGACATTAAATTACTAACATTAATACAAATACATTACAATTATTAACACTATTAGTGCTACATTTCAATTATTTATATTACTGACATTTTGATTATGAATACATGACAACTATAACGTCATTACTAATACATAACAGTGACCTTTCATTTCAATTATTAACATTATGACTAAAACATTACAACTATTACCATTATTACTAATACATAACAGTGATTTACATAATTACAAATACATTTCAATATTAACATTATTACAGATACATTAAAACTATTACAGTTATTACTTACTTACAGTTATTACTTACTTATTACATTACAATTATTAACACTTATACTGTTTCATTAGTTATTAACTATTACAAATGCATGGCATCTCTTACCATCGTTACTCATACATCACAGTTATTAATACAGTTATGGATAATTTAAATTATTAACACTATAACAAATTTACAATTATTAATACTATTACTCATACATTACAAATATTAATTATTTTACAAAAACATGACAGCCATTACATCATTATTAATACATTACATTAATAAACTTTTTTTTAAACATACAATTATTAACACCATTACAAATACATTACAACTATTACCATTATTACTAACACATAACAGCTATTAACATAATTAGCAAC